CCGAGTTTTTGTAATTGCCCGAAAATTGTAAAGTTGGGTTTTGGGTGTCGTTTTTAGGAGCGCTGACTTCTATTGAGTGTCAAGTTCCGTGCTGAGAGTGTTGCGTAGTGCATAGTTTTTTGGATGTACTCGTTTGCTAGCGGCGAGAGCAGTGGTGCGTGGAAGTTTCATGAGATATCAAAAATTCGTGGAGCAGTGATAAATACTGATCAGTTAATGATATTGTAAATGGTAATATTAGTAATGTGTCTGGTGTAATGCTCATGAGCAGTTTTGGTGATGATGAGGTGTGTAAGATATGATAATCGACGGAGCAGGAATGTTTTGGTGCGTTAAGTTGCCCACAGTGCTAATCGGCTGGAGCTTGTTGGTGGGGCAGTTGTGGCGGCGATCCACGATGCTTTTGTGATGATTTTTGCGGCTGTACTGCGTTTTTTTACTGCTCTGCTTGCCAGCTGCAGCAGCGCCAGGCTTCTGCCCGCGGGATCTTCAGGATTCCGTGCTCAGTTGCTCTAATGTGTATTGTTTTGTTTGTCTCATTGCTGCTGCTGCTGCTGCTGCTGTGCAGTGAATTGTCGCGCGATCGGGCGCTGCTCCGCCTGGCCTCTTGCTGTGTGTGAAGTGCGAGGCCGGGCGGGCGGCGTTCGTTGGGTCTAAATTAAAGTTTTGCATATTTTCCGGCTTTTGTTCTGCGATGCCTAAGCGATAAGCGACAGTGCATTCTTCCTGTGGACGCATTCGAATTCAGCGAAACTTTCCCTCTCTCTCTCTCACTCTCTCATTCTCTCTCTGTGCGTGTGTATTTTGTTTATTCTCGCCATTATCGTTGTTGTGGTCACTTAAAAGGCAAATTCAGCTTTCACAAAATCTGCTTATTACTACTCCGGTCACGCAGCACCGCCCTGCACATTCACATGGTAACAGAATTTTTTCATTATTTTTTTTTTTTGCATCAATGAGTGGGTGTTATTTTGCATGCACTGATAAAGGGGGGGGGGGCGACTGTCGCTCTTTCCTTGCCACACATCTGCTGTGTACTCAAGCAGCTGTCGCGTATTGGGCCAGGGCTAGCAAAAAACACTATCCTCGTGCGCTGTGCAGAACAGCTTGATTGCCCGGAAGACGCCGTAATCTCAGCCCTAACTCAGTTTACAGGAAGTTTCTTTTTGTGATCAAAGAACTGCTCCAGTAACTTTACTTTTTCAGGCCAGGCTTGAACGGGTTTTAGGATGCACAGCGCTGTCACGCCTCTCTGTATCTGTGGACGAGAACCGAGACGTTGTCGCATATCCGGCTGGGTGAGCTAATGCTTGGCTCTAAATTTGACTTGCTCTAAAAAACAGATTGTTACAGTAGCAGTAGCAGCAAGTTTTACATCGAATTGGATAGGGGGAAGTCGAAATTCCTTCTCTGCGTCAGGTAGCCCGAGTGCTAGCTGTAGTCACGCTCTGTCGGTGGCTTTTTCTTTTGAAGGTTACTGAGATGTAAAGTGATGATAACTTCCTGCGTGTTTCGATGCTTGAAGCAAATAAACAAATCGTAGGGGGATTGGCCAGTAGAATCCTCGACTGGAGCACTGCCGTACAGTGCTCTCTTGCTAGCAACCATAAATTGAACCCATCTTCTCTTTTTTTTCCGTTTCATATAAAGTTTTGTTTTCTCTCGGTTATGATACGGAGTGCCTCCACATCATCACAGTTATTGGTTTTTTTTGCCGAAAGGCGTAAGAAAAGGCCAGTTTGCCGATTGAAGGGGACTGACTTGCGAAGTGCGCTTTCCTCCGTGTGCACATCTGCTAGCATTTTGTATTTTTCACGCCAGCGAAGTTCTTCAGCATCTTTCACGACTGGCTTTTTCAGAGCAACAGTTGTTCTTTATTGTCCGAGAAGCAGTTTGCAAGCTCATGTAATTGGCGCGTCGAAGAACAGTATCACATGTTTGTCGTTCTCGAACTGTGGCAACTACCTTGCTACCGGCGAGGTCCTCTTGTGTTTTGCTTTATTTTTCGGTTGCTCGAAATTGAATCGGCGAGATTTTAGCCCATCGATCATCGGCGATTTCCAGGCTGAGATTCTTCTGGTTCTCACAAAAATTTTCCCCTGCCCATCCTGGGACTTGTCGTCCTTAGCCCCTAGTGCCCACTGTTTCGCTGTAAAATGTTAATTTAACCGGGGCACTGCTTCGTAGCTTGATTTGATGCAATACCTCTATGCTAGTTTAATTTTGCTTGGAAAGTACAACTTATCCTACGTTGTTATCGGACAAAAACGACGTGTATTAATGTTTTCAAATTAATTAATGCTCCAAAAATAACAATAAAAAAAAAAAACAAATTAATGCTGCAAGCAAAAAAAAAAATTGATGCTTCCAAAACAAATTCAAAGCTTCCAAATCCAGTGCTGTTAAGTAATCGGAAGACTAATAGACTCGCGGTGCCGATCTGAGAGTGTTAGACGGGCGCATCCTGAATTTAGCATACCCTCTTCTCCCGGACTTTCTTCGGCGTTTGCAGGCTGGCACCGAGCCACGAGTGCGCATCTGGCAGCTCTATGACTCGAAGGGCCGATTTGCTTCAACTCCAGTTGCCGAGATCAAGCATCATCAAATCGAAATTGTTTGCGTGGTGAGTGCCTTGTGCCTTTTGGCTATGCTCTTTCTGGGCGAACTGTTCCGTTTCAGATCGGTCGGGTTTTCTTTAATGCAGATGAGGTTGGTGTAGTAAGTGAGGGAATGAGGCTTGCATATTTTAAGCGTTTTCTGCCTGATGGCAACGTTGTATCGGTGGGCAATCAGCACGATCGTGCAATTGTTATTTGGAACCCGCAGACGCAACACAAAATCGCTGAGAGTCGGCTCACTTCAAAGGTATGCCTTATCGATAGCTTGCTTCATTGTATCTGCAACAAAAAGCAGCACTCAGGTTCCGCAGAGAGACATTCCCAAACATTGCAGAAGTTCTGCCGAGATTTTTTCCTTAAATTTCCCGCTTTTTAAGGTGCACTCTTTGGATGTAACGGAGCAAGGCGGTTGTGTAACAGTGGGGGTGCGCCATGTGAAATTCTGGCATATTGCGAAGAAGCCTGATGGGCAAAGAACTGTGCCATTGCAGGTTTGTGATTTTTTATTATTTAATTGTGACATGTAATGTAACATTGCATATCACTGAAGCTAATTTCATTTTGCTGGATTGCTGGGTTTTGGCTGTGAAATGTCTTTGCAGGGGCGTTCGGCAATCCTCGCCGATCAGCGAAATAACACCTTTTTGGATGTGTGTTGCGCACCAAATAATAGGACTTTTTCAATCACCGAAACAGGCATTCTGTTAGAATTCCACGACAAAAAGGTAATTTATATCTTTCAGCTAATCATTGTAAAGTTTTGTAAATGTATGCGGGTCCTAAAACATCGTGAGCTAAAAGTGCGTCGAATATGGGTGGTTGTCGGTTTTGTTTCCGCAAAAGCATTATGTCCTTTTTTTATTTGCGTCGTATAACGGCTCATGTTTTCTACGTAATTGTTGTGTTTGAAGGTACTTGAAACCGGATTTTGTTTTCAGGCTGCTTGCTAAGTTTTTCCTCTAAAAATTTTTTGGTTGGGGCAGCTTTTTCGGTAAGCACAGCGTTTCTTGTAAATCCAGAGGCGCAGTACTATTCAGTGTACTCAAGCTAGAAAGCTTTTATCATTTTTTCTTGAGCGTAACTGGTGGTGATTTGAACTTGGAGAGTTGCATTCCTGATTTGAATTTCAGTTAATCAGTACTTTTGATCTGGGCGATGAGTTGCCGCTTTCAATGATACATGGCGGTGATGAACTATTTATCGGATTCAAAAACGGCTTGATACGATGCTTTGACTTCGCAACGCTGGAACGTAAATTCACAATTTGTAAGCCGCATTATTTGGCCTGCGATGTTGCCAAAGGTGCTGGTAGTGATGCGCTATCACCGGAATCGAATCAGTCTGGCAGCAGGTAAGCGGTTTTTTTATCTACATTGGCGCCTGAGAATGTTGTTCCTGGGATCTCACACCTGTCTCTCTTCTCTAGAAATCCAAAGCGTTTTGAAGTTCTTGGAGTGCTGACGAGCATGGCTAAGTAGCAGCAGCACCCCCCATGCTACCGGAGGGATCGAGCTGCCAGTAGGACGCCCATCGCTTGTGGATTCGTTCGTCGCTTTTGCTCTCGCCTGTCTGGCAAAGAGTGAATTGGGTAGGTGTTTTTTGTGTTTTTGCTGAAATTTCATTATCAGACATGCATCAGTGGGCTGTTTTTACCTTGTTTAATTTACATGATTTTATCAAGGTGACTCTCATTGCTGTTGATTGCTCACTGCAGAACTAGACTGCAAAGATTTGTCCTGAAAGTCATTCTTTACGCCAGTATATTTGTGGCCTTATCTCTTAGAAGCTCCTTGTTCTGCTGCTTTAGCTGCTTGGTTTGTATCTGCAAAATTATGCAGATGTGTGAGTGTTTTAGCACTAAGATCAGCAGAACACCGTTAAAAATTTGCACTTCACTGATTTGCTGTTGTCGAGTTACGCAACATGACCATCTTATTATTCTCGCTTGCAGTTGCTCTAAAACTTGACCAATTTTGCTGAAATTTCATTATCAGATATGCATGTCAGCTTATATGTTTTCAGATATCCGGATGTACGAGCTCTCGCCTATAACAAGAGAGCAAATATGTTGACCGCAGTTTACAGTGATCGTTCAGTCTATACATGGCATCCGCAGGGCGAGCAGATCCAGAAAATATCTTCCCAGCTTTTTCATGTCGGCCCAGTGATGTCGCTAGAGGTAAACTTTTTTTCAAAGGATCTCCAAAACTGGTGCTGTTTCAAGATGGCTTGATGCATTTCGCTCATGTTAGAAAAGAATTGCTTCGGTCAGTTACATTTTGATGGGTTTAGTATAAAAGAGAGGTGCACCTGAGCCGTTGCAGGGGATGCATTAAATTTCCAGTGAGGTGGCACTTTCCAGAAAGGAGCCTTAAATAGCGAATGACTCTTTCCATGCGGTAGAGTGCGGTATAACATAAAGTACTGGAAAATGACCATCTACTGAAGCAAAGCGAAGGGGTGTGGTGGCAGAAAGGTAGCAGAGGAACGCAGAATCGGAAAAATGAACTGGCCCTTCGCTGATTTGTCGTTCCGGGGAAAGAATACGTAAGTAGTCGAAGAAAGTGAACCGGCTGTAAGCCGACCGACCTTCAGAAAAAATCAAAATTCGTTGATCAGGCCCCTGTTCAAGCCGATAAAATATAAAAAGACACTGTCAGTCAACGCGATCAGTACAGCAGTAAGACGGATAAGTACAAGAAAATTGCATCAACGTAAAAGCATGCTAATGTCGAGTAAAAATGCAAAAAACTGACTGTTGGGATGGATATAAAACTGAAGCAAGGATTCAGACAGGATCCGGACGTGTGCACGAGAAATATGCATTCGTTAGGTTTATGTGAAGTTTTTTACATATCGGAATCCTACTACATCACAGTCGTGTACTTTCATGCGAAATAAATAGTTGGTCAGCGTACCGACTGTCGGTGCGAAAGTGCGTTTATTGCATAGTTCTCCGCGCGTTTTGTTGCTAACGGCACGTTTTTCCGGCAGATCTAGCTAAGAGGATTGAGACTGGTAATCAGGACTGTCTGAAAACATCCCCTTAAATTTCCAGCTTCCTAGCTTTTCTAGTTCCCGAGTTACCAACTTACCCGCCAAAGATTTCCACCAGCCTGTACGTGAGAACCACGCATAACTAGGGACAGAGCTTGAAATCATTAGGTTCTACGTGGGCAGGAAATATCCTCGTAAAATTTCAGCCGTCTAGCTTTTCAAGTTTCCGAGTTAGCAAATCACGCGCAAGAAATTTTCACGGGCTCATACATGGGAACCACGTGTACCCGGGGGGTTAGACCTACTTGGATGGGGAACATTTCCTTAAAATTCTAGTTTTCTAGCTTCTCAGGTTCTCGAGTTAGCAACTTATCCGCAAAAAAATTTTACGGACTCGTATGTGGAAACATACCTGGGGGCTGAATTTGAAACCGTTAAGTTATACGTGGACGAGGAACATCCTCTCAAAATTTCAGCTTTCTAGCTTTTCTGGTTCCCGAGTTAACAGCTTGCCCACCAAAAACTTTGACGAGCCTGTACGTTGTAACCGTGTGGGTAAGAGCGCCTATTTTGGGATGACGGCCTGTACTTGTATGTAGGTTAAGTTCCCAAAGTTTCAGCCCTGTAGCTTTTGTAGGTCTCGAGATGAAAAGTCGGTGCAGACGAACACACATATACACACAGACAATCCATCGAAAATATGCGTTTTTGCATTGCATAGATGCAAAAAACGCATAAAACTTCGCTGTGTCAGGCGCCTCTCTTCCCCGTAAGCAAACATTGCTAGAAGAAAATTCGTCATAAAAAGTGAGCTAAAGTGTTCGAAAAACGGTAAAACTGAGTGAGTTAAGTTGCAGAGATTCTGCTCATTACTTATTGCCACCGAAGAATCAGTTAGCAATTTGACTTAATGGACAATCAGTTTGACTTAATGGATCGAAACGTCTTATCTCGCTCTCGCCTTCTTCAGTCTACACTACTACTTTCTCCTACATCTGCACACTCTGCCATCTGCACTTCCGGGATTAACCCGAAAGCTGCAATCTGCTTAGCATCCGAGGGCTTTCTGCGAGCCTTTTCGCGCCCACTTGAAAGATCTTTCAGGCATTCTCTAAATCTTTATTTGCGCTGCACTTAACAGCATGCTGTTCAATAAATAGGAAAGATTGGTGTTGAATTGTAACGGTGCAACTCTCGATGTTTCGGGGCATATCCCCAGAGATGCAGCTGTAACATTCAACAGTATATTTAAAAAAAAAAAACCTTTCAGATTTCTCCGCAGAATTGTACATGGCTACCACAAGGCGCATTCCTGACTGGTGGATTAGATGAAACAATTCGTATTTGGAATGTAGATCACCAAGTGCCGTCAATCGACGAGGTTTGCAATCTCAAGCATTTCAAATTTCATCGTTTGCTAAATAAATTTCTATCAGTTTTGGAAGTATGTGACACCCGATGAATGACCGGATTCGAGGCGTTTTTTAGATTTCTTGCATCTGAACTTTCTTCATCACAGTGTCTATTTCTTAGCCTTAGATTGTGTTGAAGTTGATTCTTGCTGGATCCGGAATTAAAACGTGTTTTTCGGTGAAAGTTTCTTCTCCAAACTTTTTATTTTTATGCAGAATAGATGTAGAAATTTCCAGCAGATTGATTTCTTACTGTTCATGAGCTTGGCTCTTCCGTTTTGCTGACAAACAGCATAAGATGCTGTGAAAAACCGTTGTTGGAGGGTTACAAGTTAATCCCTTGCTTCCTCGTGCGCTGGACATAATTCTTAGGCTTAAAATATTTTTTACCTATTTTTTGCTATTTGTTTTCTTCGCTCCAAAATATTAAAGTATGACTGCGATCTTTGATATTTCGGTGCAAATTTGAACTGTACATTGATCATTTTTAGAGCAGGCAAATGTCAGTGCCGGAGGGCAACATATTTTCGGAAGAACTAAAGAAAATCATCTTCATTGCTAATAATGCCTTGCAGCTCGCTGAGTCATCCAATGGTAAATTTTGTTTAAAATCAAAATCCGCAAAATTCTGTTTTATCGGTTATGGTTTCTTCCCTGTCTGTGGCTGTAGTTTCTGTGCGAAAAGGATGAGGGGTGATCGAGATAGCCGCATATATCTGTTCTTTTTAAAGTCTATTTTTTCTTCATTCTAGTCATAACTCTCCACTTCCCTGCCTTTACATTCTGTAGGGAATGAAACCCTGGAAAGGCATGCTTGGAAGTAGGAATTGGAAGGGGCGAGGTTTGAGGGGAAGTGGTTATATGAGTTTATGTTCCTGAGCAGAAAACTTGATACTAAGTTAGAGCTGGTAACCCTTTTTTTGCTAGCTTTCAGTCAGCATCATAAACCCATAAAGGAAGGAACCGAGATTCATTTCATTAATGGAAAACATAACGATACTGCTAGCAACAAAGTTAGGCTGCAACGACCGAACCACCAAGCGATGATCGTGCAACAGCGAATAAATTGTTAAATCCAAAATACACCGCAGAATCATTTTGAAATAAAAGGAAGCTGGTGCACTTGTATTTCTGTTTTTCTGCGTTTTTTGCATTTGTGCAACACAAAAACGAGTATTGTCGAGGGATTGTCTATGTGTGCGTCTGTATCGAGTTTTCATCTTGAGACCTACAAAAGCTACAAGGCTGAAACTTTGGCAACTTAATCTACACTTGTGTTCGGGTCCTTATTCTCAAAACGAACCCTCACGTCTACGTGGTTACCACGTACGGGTATGTGAAAAATTTTCCGATGGGAATGCGATCTCGGGGATCATTGCAAGCTAGAGAGCTGGAACATCACGAAGATGTTCCTTGCCCTCGTCCTACTCGAAGATTCCAAATTCAGCCTTCATGCACCCCTAGATCTCACGTGCATACACGTCAAGGCTTAAATTGGCATCGTGTCGACTCGAGAATTAAGCTGGCGGAGAAGTTGTAGTGAGTTGCTTGTCACGCCGGTGTGCCTGTGAAAGCAAATTGTGCTTTCTAGCCCCTCTGCGTCTCATGCACAGGCGCATGAAACTTGATATAGTCTGTTTTGTGACTTCGGAACATAAGCAGCTAGAGGGTTAAAACTTTCTGAGCGTAACTGACGGTCTCACATACGTGTCACGTACGAACACGTGCGGTATGACGCAATTCTGCAATCGAACCAGATAGAGCGTTCAAACTTCCTGAGCGTAGCCCAGAACGGGGTTGAGCAGGGAAATCTAAAAACAGCATTCTCTTATCCCCTCACACACGAACACATGAATTTGATGTAACACTGCAACCAAAGCGGCTGCAGTGCTAAAATTTTCGGAGCTGGTGACTGTGTTTGGACAGGCACGTATGAAAAACATTTTCGTCCTCTTCACGTACGAGTACGTAAGAGTTGACGTGAAGTCGCCCAAAACGCTTACAGCCTCCCTTTCGTAGTACGCTCCGTATAGACCTTTCGGAGTAGGTTCTGTAAAAGGTATTAAAAGCATCAGGAGAAAAAGATTTATATCTAAATTGCAACCGAAGTATCTAAATTGTTGAATTTCCTTGATCATGGATAGGGAATCATTGCAATAATTTTTAGCAGTCGTGGTGGCCAGTCTCATTTTTTTAAGCTAAAAGTACTTGCCGAGAAAAGCAGTGCCGTTAGAGACAAAAGCCTGCGAGAGAACTTTGCAAAAACGCATCTTCGCACTGGCGATCGGTGCGCTGGCCAATTACTGGTTTCTTCAAGCATTGCTATCTTTGCAAGTGTGCCCACTGTCCGAGTTTGTTGCGATCTAGCCTGTGTTAATGGAGCGCGACTTGTATAATATTAGCGTCTCTGTTTTCCTCTTCCAAAATCCCACAGGCAAAAAAAACCCGCAAATTGCACACGTTATGGTTTTCACATCCACCCACAAACGCATGTACATTGCACGGTCGATCCAGGCCGAGTGGAGTCGAGGCAAACTAATTTCCAGCAGTTGCCGTTTTGTGGCTTAGCGGTGGCAGCCCCTGTTCAGAGAAACGAGGGATGGAAGAGAGAGCCTCCTGGACAAAATACAAAAACTGTCTAATGTGTTGTCGTATTTGAAAAGGAACCATAGTAACTCATGGATTTATCTCTTAACGTTTTATTGCTTCAGAAATGCTTGGTGCGTCGTTGTCGGATGCTGGTGCCGGTGTGAGATCATTACGAATTAGTCCGGACGGGCAGCATCTCGCAGCGGGTGGTCGCGATGGCAATTTATGGTGAGACTTTGTCATTAACTTCTCACCTTGTCGGTGGCCGTCATCTCCTTATTTTTAACTTCCTATGTAAGAAGTTCTGCTATTTTATGACGCGGTTCAATCTTAGCTTTATAGTAACAAATACAGCTGTTTTTGTGGATCGTGTGTAAGTCATGGGCTGATTCTCCCTGTATGCATTTGGCAACTTTTCCAGTTCCATCGACAAGTATTGCATTTCCTTAACCTGCTGGCGATCCTGATGTTAGTTTCGTCTTCTAGAGGATTAACCAGCTCCAAGGTTTCCCCGAATAAGCACTTGACAAGAATATGTATGCTTCCGTATCTCCTTGGTCTTTACTGAGTATCACTTGTGATCCTGAAAGTTGCCAGTCCGAGAATGCGCTGAAATTTGTTGTCGGCTGGGATTTTATCCACATTACGTGCAGTGAAATCAGTTGGTGTTGGAAGTGTTAATTTTGGGATCGCAAATAGGTTGAAATGTTTTGCTTGATTAATTTTTGAAGTATGTTGTTAGTTTTATAATAAATTGATCTGTTGATTGAGGGGAGGGGAAAAGTGAAACCCTTCTTATTATGCGTTTTGTGCTGTGTAACAGCAGTACAAAACGCATATTGTTACGGGGTTGTCTGTGTGTGTGTTTGTGTGTGTGTCCGCAGCAACTTGTCCGCAACTTTCAACTCGGGAACCACAAAAGCTAGGAAGCTGAATAGGGTAACGTTTCCCACCCACGTGTGACCCCACAAATTTAAATTCAGCTTCCCCGTACCCACGGGTAACGTGTACGGCCGGACGTTCCCCACCCATGTGTGACCCCGCAAATTTAAATTCAGCTTCCCCGTACCCGCGGGTAACGCGACGGCCTGCGTGAAAGTTTTCTACGGGTAAGTTAATATCTCGGGAACCACGGAGTCTAGGAGGCTGAAATTTTAGCTACGTGTGACCCCGCAAATTTAAATTCAGCTTCCCCGTACCCGCGGGTAACGCGTACGGCCCTGTGATTACGTGTAAGTAAAGTATCTCGGGAACCACGGAGTCTAGGAGGCTGAAATTTTAGGGTAATGACCCACTGCCCATGCTCTCACGGAGTATAGGAGGCTGAAGTTTTAGGGCAGTGACCCCCTGTCCACGCTCAACCTTGCCCATTGAAATTCAGC